TTATTTTTAATTAAATTCATCGTTAATACATATACAGATATTTCAGTAATTAATAATTTGCATATGTACAAAGCAGCAATAGTATAGAAACATATAAAAAAAAACCATTGTTATATCGTTATAGAATTTTTTTTTCAATTGAATTCAGCGTTAATACATGTACAGATATTTTCAGTAATTAATAATTTGCAAATGTGCAAGCAACGATAGTATAGAAACATATATAAAAAAAATTTATTGTTATATCGTTATATTATTATCAGAAGTTTCTTGAAAAGTGTCTTGTGAATTTTGGGAATTAATATAAAAAAGGTCGTTAGGATCCATTTAGGCAATTATTGTAAGTATCAAAAAGAAAAAAAAAAAATTATAACAAATACAGTAGTTTACAAAATATTACGACATATTGTTATAAATTCGAAGGCTTATTATCAATATGAAAGTTTATTATCAATACGAAAGTTTATTATCAATACGAAAGTTTATTATATTAGTTATGTCATAACAGTTACTATAGTGATTACAACATACGTATTAGAGTCATATAATCGGCTCACGGCTCTAAACCGGTTCGGCTAACTAACGGCTCAGCTAACTAACGGCTCAGCGCCGTTAAATAACTCGGCTAAGCCGATCGGCTTACGGTTCTGCAGAGCCGTTTTGCATCACTACTTATAAGGACTGAGACTGACCGGGACGGACCGATCCATCCCCCGAGATTTTGGTTTCAAACCACGTGGAATTAAAATGCATAAATAAAGTAAATACGTACCCTATACTCATAAATAAAAGCTCCGCGATAACCATAAAACCATTACGTTATGAATTGTGTCACCAACCTGTATCGCTCAAATAATGGACGGATCTGCAACTTAAAGATTACGGTACATACTTAATTGTTTAGCGATCTCAATATAAGAACTTCCATTGTTCGCTTTGTTCGCTTTGCAGAAGAAAAACTTACCAGCTAATTCACCTTCCTTTACCCACTGGAACTCAGGTCTATGCTTGTATATCCTGCAAAGCCTCTTTCTTAGTTACAACAACGTAGAATTCGTTAGTACAACTCAACTCACTCTCACTATAATAACGAATTTTGAATTACAATATTCTATCGATATAGGTCACGATGATCGGCTTCGATGACTTCACTATAACAACTATAACGATAGTCGAATGCGTAATTCTTTTATTACATTTATATTAAATCAATTTTACCCATCTTTTGTCATCTAAAATGGCAATAAAATTTCTCGAAAACCTTTCAAAAAACTATCTTGAAATTCTTAGTGACGAAGATTTTGACGTAATTATTAAAACTAAAGAATCCTTGTTACAGGCTCATTCAATTATTTTACGAAATAGATCTTCATATTTTCGCAATGCATTAACGAAAAGTGACAATGATAAAGATAACATTAAAAGAATTGATTTGAGCCATGTTCCTACTCAACAATTTAAAATTATTATCAAGTAAGCTAAATAATATTTTTTTGATTGTTAGTCTTATATTTATAAAATAGAAAAACTAAATTTAAATTTCATATTAAATTTAATAAAGATATATTTATGGAGGAGTGATTTTGCTAGAAAATTATGATACACAGTTCATTTTTGAATTTTTGATAATCGCTTGCGAGTTTCTTCTAGAAGATTTGGTGAAATATCTTGAATTTCATTTAATTGAAGCTAAGGCTAATTGGCTCCGTTTACATTTCGCACATGTTTATACAAAATGTCTCCAAGATAACAAACTCCAAAGATTATATAAATGGTGCAATGATATTATAGCAAAGTATCCAAATTGGATTTTTAGGTCAGAAGGATTCATCTCATTACCAGAAAATACATTAATATCACTTCTCGAGAGAGATGATTTATCAATGGAAGAAGGAAAAATCTGGGATCATGTCATAAAATGGGGAATCGCTAAAAACTCTAATTTACCACCTGATCTCAAGGATTGGTCTTATGAAAATTTTCTATCCTTGAAAATTACTTTACAAAATTGTTTACCTTTGATCCGTTATTTTCAAATATCTAATGAAGATATTATTGATAATGTGAAGCCATATAAAAAAATTCTTAAGAAACAACTTTGGGATGATATATTTAAAAAATTTCTTGCGCCAGATCGTACGATATTGACGAAAATTCTTCCAGCTAGATTACCATTTTCAGTAGTGATTAATAAATTGCAAGCTGCAGAAATTGCTTCATGGATTGATAAGAAAACTATTGCATATACAGATGACAATAACCCATATGAATTTAATTTACTACTTCGTGGAAGTCGAGATGGGTTTACTTACGAATCATTTTGGAAATTATGTAACAAACAAGCAAATCTTGTTGTAATTTTGAAAGTTAAAAACACTGAAGAAATTCTTGGAGGATATAATCCCATCGGTTGGGATAAATCAGTTAATAATTGGATAAATTGTAAGGAAACCTTCATTTTTTCGCTAAAAAATGGAACTATTAAAAATTCTATTTTAAGCCGAGTAAAAGATTCAAAATATGCAATTAGAAGTTATTCTGATTATGGTGCACAATTTGGTCGTGAAGATCTTTTTATTGGAAACTATTTTGCTTGTTATCACTCTTCATACGAAAAAGCACTTCGACATACAGATGGTCCATTTCTAGTGTCTGAATATGAAATATTTCAAATTCACAAATTCTAAAACTTTAGTTTAATTGCAGCAGTTCATTTAATATGCTTTCCTGTAAAATTGCTTTGAATAATTTTATACATTGGTTTTTAACATACTGTTAAGTTTTGACTATTTGCGTACACTTTAATGCTCAATGTGATAAATAATCTGTAGATCGATAAACAAATGCTTTATAAAAAAATGTTTACCGCAAAGAATCTTTTTTTACGTGCCTTCTTTACGGGTACAATCTCTAAATTTCTCTGTGTCATAATATCACATGACAGTTTGCTCGTTCAAAAAAAAACAAAAAAAACCTTTCTTTTTCACATGTCTTTTGACCACATTTTTACATTTATATCATTGTAACTTCAAGATGAAATGAATGCATTAATTAATATTTAAGTTTGTGTACGTACTAATGAATTTTTGAAAAAAAATGTATATCAAATATTTTACTATTGGCTATTGATTATACACCAAGACGAATGGTTAAAAGTGAAAGAGCAATTGAAAAAATAGAAATAACAGCGACTTTCCAGGAAGGGGTTTCAGGGAGGTAAATACGTTTTTGTGGATAAATGCTTGGGACGTAAAAGTCTAAATAGATATAGTAAGTATAGGCTGGGAATGCAGCACAGTAACTAAAATAGAACGCGAGATAGCTGTAATATAACAATAATTGAACATGTAGAAGCAGATATTGTGTTAGTATAAAAATTATGATTTTATACTATAGCATAAAAGAACGGAATAACTTACCCATAAAACGAGTTTGTAAGAACAGTAAACACGATATTGCCAAGAACATGAAAGACAGAACCAATAATCAATAACAAAAGTTGATTCGGATGATAAATTTTCGGATGGAAAGAATCTTGTTGAGCATAAACATCAATTTCATTTTCATTATCATTTTCATTTTCATCAGTATTTTCAATAAGTTGCTCGTCTAAATTGTCATAATTTCTGTGACCATGCCTAAGCTCGTGTTTAGTAGTCAAATATATACGAGTGAATTCAATAATCAGGGCCCAGTCGAAGCATAAACCTGCATTTATTTTATATAATCATAAAATGAACTTAAATACTTTTTCAAAAGAAAGCATAAAAACTTAAAATTAATTTACCTTGGCCTTTGAACCACAAAGCGTCATAGGGGAATTTGAATAAAATGCATGTAATTGAAATGAAACTAATGTAAAATCCAACAATAGGCCAAAATGCAGAACACTTAATTCTTCCACCAGAACCAAGCAAAACAAGCATTACAAATTCGGCAGCATTATGGAATACACCAACAGCAACCCATATTTTACCAGCACTAAAAAGGAATAGGGCGAAACCCGCTAAGGTTGTTAATCCAATATAAATAGCCAAAGCACGATCGAAAGCAATTGTTGGAAATGAAGTCGTCACCTGCGCTATAAAAACGCGTGATAGATTTAGGATTGGTGGGAGGATTATATGCGTAGTAACTAGCAAGTAACATAGTAATTTGATTGAATAGTGTCGTAGCATCAAGTTCGTTGCCATCGTATCCTATTTCATTATTAACATCAAATTAGCTTAATTAATCATTCTTTGATAAAAAAAAAAAGAATATATAGACATGGAATCTGCATTTATAAACCTTCTAGCTCAGGAAGCCATGTCAAGTAACCGGTAAACCGGTAAGGGTTTGTTTTGGAACAACAGGATTAACTCCAACAAAAGAAAGAAGCACGAGCAATAAAGCCAAAAGAGATAGAGGGATAGCAAAACAGCCAATTTTTATCATTTTTTACGTTTTTTTTTTGTTGTTATGAGAAGAATTTCTTTCGTGAGATAGTATGTATTTATACGTACTGTACGTACGTACGGTGCAGGAATCTAATCATTTTATATAGAAAATAAAGGTCAAAAATCCTGACAAACAAAATCCTGGCAAGGTCAAAATTCCGACAAGTTAGTCCCGCATTAGGTATAACTCCGGATTTTTGACTCCAAAACCATATTTAGTGATAAGGTGAATTCAATAGCGGCCTATTTTGAAGTATTAGTATGCATAGAATGGTATATATTATTCCTTGGCGTATGATTTCTATGCAAGAGATTAAAAATCTTAGACTACCAGCTATTGAGATAGATAATTTAAGAAATTTTAATACCCAGAAATTGCAGATTTGTGTAATGCATGAAGTTTAACGTGTTTCATTCCAGTATACTATGTACCTGTTTTTAACGGGATTCCCTTGACACTTTTTTTTTATTTATCAATTTATTTAACTATTGAGGCTTCCGCAAGACCCCATATCGTTTAGGGTGTTAGCTGTTAAGGTCTTTATGTTCGGATTTAATTTCATATATGAATTTATATACTACTTTTAAGTTATATACATTTTTTACGTAACTAACATACAAAATCATATCGTATTTTTTTTTTTCAAATAAACTAGTTTTTTTTTTTTTCAAATAAGCTAGTTCTACACTAAATCAAGCCGGTTTTGCGCTCTATTTCAATGTAGAGCTAGTCTAGAACCATAGTTTAATAAAAAAAAAAAAAATACGATAATTATAAAAAAAAAAGTAATTAAAGTAGTGCGAATGCACAAAATTATATTGTAAATTATCGGAGGTTCCTTTTAAGTAAGATGACTTCCGGTATAGTTTTAAAGCGGCCGGAAATTTTATAATATAAATATGCTGTTTTATTTTCACAGGAGTTTCTAAAGTACGTTTAAAAACGAAAAAAAAAGCAGTGCCCTGATGCGAACTCATATATAAAAATTCATATATAAATTCATACGTGAAATCAACCTTCAAAACATCCGAACATAGTGATCACTAATTACAATGATTTTTTTTATCTATTATATGTAGTTGGGCTTAATTGTTTATAACTGGAATTTTACTAGAAGTATTCTCGGAAGTATCATAGAATTTCACTGGAATTATCCTTTTTTGGAATGTTCTTGATTTCGACCGGAATTTCACCGGTGAATGTTTTCAAATTCTGGGACACCCTAAAAAATTTGATGAAAACTATTCGGCCGAATTCGATAAGCTATTGATTTCAGAGCAGGGCTGAAAATACCTATCGCTATTTATTTTCCCGGCTTGCAGTTCATTGTTTCAAGTGCTTTATTGATGCATTAAAAAAATGCAAATTGGGACCAAGAACGGAATTTTTTGAATGGCCAGGAAAGTGCATCAATATAAACTTATAAATAATTTCGAATAAATCGAATTAAATAAAAATACGTAAGTTATTGCATAATATTTTTCTAAAAGTTCTTTTTTTGAAAATTTTTATTACATAATTAGCTTTGGTAACTTGTAGCAACCTTTTTATTGAACATACTGTATATCTATTCAAAAAATCCAATAAAAAAATTCGACAAAATGGGCCTTTTTAATACGTAACACCCATATTGCACAAGTAGGCGCTAATAAAAAAAAGATTTAATACTATCAAGAATTTGTCAACTGGTTCGAAAAAAATGCAACACAAGTTGAAATTAGAGGTCAAATATTTTATTAATTTGCCGACGATTTCTTAATAGTAAAGCTTTTATATATTTGACGAATTAAAAATCTTAGATATTACAACTGTTTTCATTATTTTTGGGACCTTTGAAAAATTGTTGACCGAGTCAATGTCAGCCGACGCAGTAACTTATCGATTTGGCTGACAAAAAAAATGCCCCAAAAAAACAGCTGTATTTATATATGCTGTGTAACACGAGATAAAGTAGCTTATCGAATTCGGCCGAATAGTTATCGGCAAATTTTTTAGGGAGTCCCAGAATTTATGAAACTGTAATCTTCAATCGTGACCCTGGCACGGTTGTTGCCCTCCAGTATGATTTGAACTATAGATTCCTGATGAAATATTTTTATTGACGAATTGACGAAACTATATGATTTCGTCAGGCATCACGATCTTGTGATTGAGACCCGGGAGCGTAACAACTACGCGGGTTAAACAAGTGCCTTTAATGATATATATAAATAAAATCATAAAGCATTGTCATATATAGACTAACTACATGCTTTATTCTCATCTTTTCCGAAAATATTCATTTCTGGTATGCTTCCCTGTCAACTATAATGAATGTTGATACAGTACGTAATTCTTTTATATTACATATTATATTTTTTGGATCGGGTACTCCAAGTAAAAATGTTCAGGACCCTGAGAACCAAAATCGGGACCTTATACGTATTATCATTATATAAAAAACTATAATGGTGATGATCGCCAGTGGTAATACGTAGTAATTTTCGGACGTTAATAGCTGCTCGATACGAAAGTATCGAGGCAGCTTTTGTCTCGAATCTATTTGCCCGATCGAACATGTGACAGGTCCGGTTACGGTCACATGTTCGATCGTTCGATCAATCCTAAGCATATATATAGTAATTGGTTATGCAATCAGTGATGTCAGTATGTAGTGAGTATGTAATAATTGAGTAAGTATGAGGTAATTGAGTAAGTACGTGAATTTGAGTAAGTATGAGGTAATTGAGTAAGTACGTGAATTTAAGTAAGTATGAGGTAATTGGATCTTAGTATTTTAGAACTCGACTTTCGTCTGGTTCATCAATCCTTCCCCGCCACAAATGATGCAACATTGTTTTGATCTGCATATGTAGGAATAGTTGGTCTGCTGAGACGGCAGCCTAAAATTGTGACCTGTCGGGATAACAGTCACATGTGTGGGAATAGTTTGTCGTGACGACAACGTGATTTGTAGTTAATTAAAGAAATAGAAGGAAAGAAAAAAAAGAGAGAAGAAAAGAAGAGTAGTCGATGCTTAGGGAAACTGCGTAGGTTGCTCAATAGCAGAAGGACAATACCCGTTTATTTTCTTCATGATAATATACTACAATGTGAGATAAACCAAATATTATCTATGTGAAATTTAAAAAAAAGTCTGCCGACCGGGTCTACTTAAAGTTTCATATTATGAACCTAAATAATTAAATTTGCATGACCTTATATCAGAATTGATTCTACTGTACCTGTTATCAAAGACGGTAGTGAAAATCTTGCAAAAAACTATCTTGAAATTCTTAGTAACGAACATTTTGATGTGATTATTAGAACAAAAGAATTTTCATTACAGGCTTATTCAATTATGTTACGAAATAAATCTTTATATTTTTGATTTAAAGAATTGATTTAAGCTATGTTCTTATTCAACAATTTAAAATTATTATCAAATTATGATTGTTAGTCTTATATTTATAAAAGAAAAATTACATATTTAATTAATAAAGATTTATTTATGGAGAAGTGATTTTGCTTATAGTGCATCGTGCACTGAGTGCACCCCCGTATCTCAAAATTTTACTAAGAGAACCTGTCGTGTAACTAAGTAAAAATGCTCCTCTCACAATTTTACCCTAACCCTAACCCTAATCTAACCCTAAAACTAGCTCTTAACTTTATCTTAATATTAGATGCTTATTTGCTATTAAAAAACAGGGGTGCACTCAGTGCACCGTTTAAATTTTTTCAATAATCATAATAATAGTATTTTGGTTCGGGTTCGGCCCAAAGCTTGACCCGTATGACCCTTTCGAAGCACTAAACGAGAGTGGCATGTATATGCTTTCCTGTAAAGCTTCTTTGAGATGGGTTTATATATCGATATTGATTATTAGCATATAACGATAACTCTGGTACTAATAATTCATTTGTGGATTGATAATAAATAAACAAATGCCTTATAAAGGATGTTTACCGCGAACTTAATCTTTAAATTTCTCACGTGTTATAACATCACGAAAATCTCTTGATTTGCATAATATATAGCCACATATATAACACAGTACGTATGCACGTACGTACAGTACATTTAAAAATTTCGATGTAGGATTTCTTATTAATTCGTGATCGTACAGTACATTGATGTATATTAGAAATATGATACAACAATTTACATTACATTACTTGTTTGTCATTCCTTGAACGTGGAAGTTTAATTATTATATTAATTCTATCGCTCTAAGGTATTTAATATTCAAACTTTATGCATTTAATGAGGTATCTTGTTTCCTTCTATTAAACGGTTCAACAAGTTTGTGTAATACATTAGATAGTTATTGAGTATGATTGATTAACTTATATTTCAATAACATTAATATATCTGGAACTAATGGTGCCCAAGAAATCTTACCCGACACAAAAGGAATTACAATAAAAAAAAAAGTGAAATTATGATTCTATAATATAAATTAGGCTTATAAAAGTTATATAATTAATAAAATTGCATTGTTATAGAAAAAATTAGTATTTTTTTTATTGTTGGTAAAAAATTTTTCCTGTGGCTTTTCTTGTAATAAATCGTGGAATATGCAATAACGACTATGGTAGTTATGTACGTGTAAAAATTCTGAGATTTCAAATCCATAACAAGTTATCACGTGGATATCTGATGGCTGAAGAGGCTGTGCTTGTTGTATAAGGTGTTAGACTAAGCCAAAATGTTAAAGCCACAATCAAAATACGTACGTACTGAAATATTAACATTAGAATGACGTATCACTATCTTATAAAAATTGCGAAACGTCTATAATTCAATGTTATTGTTTTATTATGCATATGACATAATAGTAACAAGAGTCATTAAGTATATGTGCAAGAATCTGTGTATCTTAGAAATTCTTGATCTTGTTACTTTCTAAACTGTAGCTTTTTTTTTTCTTTTTTAAATCATGGTCAGAAATTTTTGAAATTTAAAAAATATGGAAGAAGAAGAAGAGCAACCACCTACATCAACATCTCAACCC